GATGCTCTGCTTATAAAATCAAGCAATTAATATAAGGCAAGAGGCTAAGCTGACATTTACAACTATCTCTGTGGTGTAGTTTGGGCAATTTTTTGATTGAGCAGGCTGTGCTTTAAATTCTCTGTTTACAGTGGATACCCGCCACATGTATCATGCACACCAAAGTGCCAACAAACAGTTTAATCACACTCTCCCTGTAATGTTCTGCAAGAGCTTAAATAAGATTTAAGCAACAATTCAATGTAATGTAGTGCATGAAACAGAATCCCAATTAATCCCCCATCAAGTTAAAACCCTTCTATGATACACCTTGGACAGCTCCCATCTATGTTAACAATAAGCACTTCTTTAATAAAAAATATAGAAGAAATCTGAGCAATTAATATGGCCAGTATGTCAAATTAAATCACATACCACATAAAGTAACCACAAATAGGATCACCTCCATGAAGATCACTACTCTTCCTATATCACTCTCAAGCTCTAGGAATGATTAACCATTAACATGGCACTACTTCAAACAAGTGATGTTTTGAATCTTGTAAATGAATTGTGAAGGGTAGGAGGTTTTAATAGGGTAGACATTAAGAAAGAACCTGATAGTTTGGGAAGACTATAATCATATGGATATTTTTGCAAACTTGGGCTCTTGGGGGAAAATAATTTATCCCTACATTAATTTATAATTTGAATTTTAAACCCCACCAACTTCTCAATAAATTTTAAAAGATAAAAATCATCTACTTAAATAAATACGTCCCAAGATGTACTAAGAAATTAAACCCAGAAAACTCAGCCAAAATGAATTTAGGGACACAGTCAGAATCATGCACCTGCAATCATTTTTTAGTAATCAAAGTAAGACCAATTAAATATATTATTATAAATATACTGCACTGAAAACAGACATAGGCCTAAAGATGAATCAAAAAGAAACAAATATATAAAGTCCATAGTTTATACTGCTGCTCTCAAAGATAAGTAATTATAATGCTCCAAATAGATGGCCAACTATGACTGAATTAATGTGCATTCATTTTCATAAATGTCCTTGAATTCTCTAAGTATGAAATTTCACACTGAAGGTCAGATTCTTCAAAAACATGTATGCTAGTTACTGAGTGGCAAAAGTTCTTAATTAAACAACATATCTTAAGGTAGAAATTGTAAATAGAAATCTAATCTGTTGAAATGAAAAAGGGAAAAAAAAAACATGGTTTATTAAAGCAGGCAGTGCCAGATCTTTAAACGTAGTTTGTGGTTTCAAACATATGCCTGGTGGTGGGGGTAGGGGATTGTCTAGATGCATCGTTTGGGGAATGTGGTAGCCTTAAGAAAAATCATCAAAGACAATTCTTGAGTCAACATGAGTACATATATTTAGGTCTTGATTTGGTGTTTCACATGTGTTAATCTGATTATAAAAGTAGAAGGATAAGTGTAAAACCAATGCCTGGTTAAAATCCTCAGATAAGTACACACATGGTCATTAAGACATCAAAGTAGTGATCCTGTTAGAACCCATTTCATATATCTACATGGTTCTGATGGGAGGGACCTGAACCCAAAAAGGTGATGTATTAAAAGTTATAGTTAACAATGTGTTGTTTAGTTCAAGGGTTGTCACTTGAGAATATGATAGCTAATCAGGCAAATTAATTTAAAGGACACAACTACTAAAATTGTCTACTTTCATAAAGTGCAAAGAATACTTATGAAAAACATGTAGCTTTGCAGTCATTCTACATGGTGGGTGTTAATTCTGCTCAAGTTTTACTCTGAGTTGTTTTGTTCTATTCATTTTCCAATTAACAAGAACAAAAATATCCTTTTTATTTATTTTTTTACTTTTTCTCTTTTATTCTTCCTAAAACACCAAAGGTTTTGTAAGCCCACAATCTTTACTACATGTTACAACTATCACTGTTAATAATCAAGTCTGCATGATAGAAATTTATTTCATTTTGATATAACTGTTTAACTTAAAATGGATGCACATTAATTAAAAAGTTAAATATGTATGTTAAATCAGTAAGAAATTAGAAGTCATCTCACCCAATATCAGAATTCCTAGTTTGATTCTCCTTGCTATTTTTAAATACAAAAAAAAAATGGGAAGGAGAGAATACTAAATAATTTGCAAGTAATCCTTTTAAAGGCAAATTGCCTTGAATGTCCTCCTGCACAATACTCATGGTAAGTCCCCAACTGTTTTAAGAGGTAACTAACATATCAACAAAAAAGAAATACAGCAGCCCATGGATCACTACTAAAACCTCGAATGAGGAGGCACTGTGTTTCCAGGAACTTCGGCAAATTCCTATATGCATTAGGTATCACACCACTGATAAGTATTTCAAGTAGTAAAGGAATCTACAAATTATTTAAGGTGATTCAGCTTACAAGTCAATTTATAATCCTCAAAATTTTAAACTGATACATCTATTCTTTTCATTAAAAAAGAGAACTTTTCACTTGTTAAAAGTCAAACAAAAAATATTCACCCCAGTATGATGTTATATCCCAATTTACTTTCAGGCATGAAGGCTGAGAGATGCTACATATAAGAGTCTCTAAATTCATTTCTTAAAAAAACAAAAAATACCAGTCAAGTTAAAGAGTTGCAAAGAGGAGAAAATTCAAGCAATGAGATGAGTTGGAAAGAAGCATAACTTCTATTTCAACCTATCTTTTACTCGTCTTCAATTCCTATTCATAGAAGCCTAAATGAAACAGAAAAAAAATGGAGGGGAGGTAGAATTCAACTTCAAGTGCATAGGCTCATTAGCATAACTGGGTGACTTGGAAGTCTATAATCAGCTGCATGCTAATCAATCAACCAACAAGTTTTCATTAAACACACACTGGCTTTCCTACATTACCCTAGGGTCTGCATATCAGAGGCAGCATCTGGTTCTTTTTACTCTAGACTTTCTGATCCAGAATTAATCTACACCAGCAATATCCTACAATTCCTTTGAAAAAAGCTTTCTTTTCCTCTCTCCAAACCTGATCTGAAACACAGTGCCCTTATTTAAGCAAGTAGCTTAAGCGCTGGAATGGGATGAACATCATAGAAATGGTGAATTAAAAGCATTTATTTGAACAAGCAGGAACAGCCAGGGAAATTCTCAATGGAGTTGAAAGTGGGCAGGGGCATAAGAAAGAGATGTGAAATCCTGGTTTATGGCAAATGACACAGAGGAATGCATGTTTTATGTTCAAAGTCTGCCTTAGGCTATGAAAATTCTCCACATCTATCTACCTATGAAGTCAAACAAACAGGGTTCCCATATTAAGGTTCTACTTCTGCAGGAGAGGAGGCATTTGCAGCGATCAGGGGAAAGGAAAGATTAATAATGCAATGCAAAAGTTGGTCAGGAAAAAGAGAGGACATGAGTAACAGAAGAAAAAAGATCCCTGGAAGGTGAGAAGTCCAAAGTAAATCATCAATAGGTCTACCTTACTTTTCAGTATTCTCAGCCAGCAGGTTTCTTTAACACTAGAGGGCATGAAAGCAAACAAGCCAAGGAAAGGGAAGACTTGGGGCTGGTGGAGAGGGAGGAGACCTAAGCAAAGGCATATTTCACATAAAGCTGGAATTTTTGGAAACCGCAAAGAGACCTGAAATTTCAAGGCATTAGGGTCAGCAAGTATCTTCAGCAAGGCAAATAAAATTTCTGGTAAGCCTGACGATGATCTCTCTCAGGTTCATTGCTCTCCTAAAAACTCAATGAGTGGAAGGCAATTTAATTAGGCATGCCTGCTTGGTCCCCAAAGCTCCGCTCAGTTGCTAGTAACCCCTTTGCTTCAGGAAGGGTCTTACCCTTTGAAATTAGTTTTCCCTGAACCCCAAATGTTCTATGTCTGCCCACACTAACTCTTCTCCTAGCTGCCTCTAAAGCTGGAGATGTAGACTCTCCCCCTGGAAATTCAACTCACCTTAGTCAAAAAAAAAAAAAAAAAAAAGTGAGGGGTACAGCACGAGGGGCTTATACAGTTTTCTAGTCCGAACCAGCAACATCAGTGCACTTGGGTTCCCAGCAGCACAGGGCCCTCCAAGCCTGGGTAGGGAAGCTAGTCCGACGCCCTCCACTCTTCCCCTTGAGCTTCTCATTCAGCTCTGACAGCTTTGACAAGGGCAAACTGCCTCCAACCTGTGTCCTCCCGGGCCCAGAGCAGAGGTCTCACCACCTGGAAGTGCCCAGGATGAGTGCTCCCCTGGCCAAACGCTTCAGGATTTGAGGGCAAGGGGACAACAGAGTAGTAAGACAGAGCTGGGCAGCGAGAAGCAGAAATAGAGGGAAAAAAAATGCTGCAAGACAGAGAGACATGCAAAGAGAATTACAGAAACACAAAGCTATCCCAAGAACGACAAGGGGAAACAGAACGAAAGAAAAACAGATACAGGTCTTAGTGCAGAAGGTATCAAAAACCAGAGTCAGACAGACAGAAACTGAGAGACACACACACACGGAAAGAATGAGAGGTGTCTGAGCACTGAAAGAGGTAAAGAGAGGCAGAAAATGAGGCAGGCTAATGTCCAGAGAGATACTCAGGAACCAGAGTGTGCCGGGTGTCAGATGGAGAAACAATGTAGGCACCTCAAACCCGAGCTTCCCGCAGCTGGTGGGAGAAAGTTGTCCGAACCAGGAGACCGATCTGTCCCCGCTGCTGAGAGCCGCCAAGGAGCAGATGGGGACCCCAACCACCTCAGCTCGGCGGTGTAGCGGGAAAAAGCCCAGCGAAGGGAGGGCAGAGACAGAAAGTTCCGCGCCTCTGGATTCTCCCGCCGCACCTGCAGCCTGGAGCAAGCCTACTCCTAGATCCCAGGAGACCGCCTCGCCAGGTCCGCCCGCGCCCCTTCCCCTGCCCTGGGTTCTGCTCCGTACCCTCCTGGCACTCGCTGGGGGACTTTGAGGCACCCAGCTCCGGCACTCCGGCAGACGGAGGGGGCTCGTCCCAGACTGTCACGAAGAGAGGGAGCGAAAGAGAGAGACCTGCTATCGTGGCCAAGGATCCCACGAAGAGAGAAGGGCGGTCCACGCACTGGATTCAGCCTCCGATCAAGCCGGGCAGGCGCCGACCAGCTGCACCGAGTACACTGCTCACCAAGCCGGCGCTCACCTGGATACCGCGCTGGCCCTAGAGTGCCGCTCGGTGCGCAGCCCCAGCTCCCGCCCGCGCTCTTTTCACACTTCCTCTCAAACCGTGCAAGCCGGCTCCGGCCTCGGCCAGCCCCAGAGAGGAGCCCTCATAGCGCAACGGCGGGCGGTAGGACTCCGCGAGCGCGCCCAGAGCGGGCGCCAAGGCCGAGGAGGGACGAAGACCCAGTGAGGACTCCTAGCACATTGTCACCTCAGCAGAGCCACCGCCGCCGCCGCCGCCTGGTCACTTCGCCCCGGCCCCCGCCCCCCTCCCACCCCAGCCCGCCGCCTCCCAGCCCCTCCTCCTCGCGCGGTCCCTCCCCCTCTCGTAGCCCCAGCCCAGAGGCCTCTCACTGGGCTAGTATCATTTACGTAACCAGCACCCCCAGCCCTCCTCCCTCCTGGCTCCTGCTCCTCCCCGAGCTGAGGCAGTGCGCACCAAGCGCGCTCCAGCTGCTCCTGGGGCTGCCGCTCCTGCGATGTGCACAAGTCCCGCGATACTTGGCAGGCACAGCCCTCAAGAGCGACTGTGGGGTCAGCTTGTCGTGCTAGAGAGAGCCTGGCGACCCCCGGCCACTCTGGGGCCAAAGGGTGCAAAATCCAGCTTGCACACACTGCCTTCGCCCAATGCGCCAGCGAGCCTCTTAGTGGGGAGCTAGGGGAAGTTCCAGCAACCCCACCCTTGCCATGGGCTCTGCAGTAGAGTGATGCTAGGAGAAACTTAAGGTTTGGGCTCTCATGTACAAACTGAAAAGACGAAAAGACTTGACCTCTTGTCCATCATGGATCATGCACTCTGACAGGATTCACCTGGATTTTTTTTTTTTTTTCCTGTTTGGCATCGTTAGCTGCTACTGCCACCGAATGTTCTATAAGAGCACTGGAAACGCAGAGCACTTCGGTGTACTCTTAAATATTTTAGGTTGAGGTAAAGAAAAAAGTGGGGCTTTGAATTCCTTTCTCAGTGAGGAAGGTGCGATAGTTAACACAGATTGGTATACACATCTAAGTACCTGAACGCTTGCATATTTTAATGTGTAGCATAGCAGCAAATTCAGCGTACTAAATGCTATTAAATTAAATGTAAGGAAGGATTGTCATACATCATAACACCAGGAATTTTGGAAATTTCTATTTATTTAGCTTATGAATTCCATTTCTGCTATGAGATCACTTAGCTCTGTAAGGCATGTTGAGAAAAGCTATGGACCAGCAGGTTTAAGATTCAGGTACTGTTAGTATTTGGAAGACTTAAGACTAATGCCCAATGCCATTAGGAGGAACTCTTTTAGGAAATTGGGATTGGTTTGTTCAAATCTCTGCTTTCTCATTTATTCACTGTTGGCTCTTGGTTAGTTTTGGCCCGTGACTTTTTTCAGTCTGTTTCCTTATTTGTAAGGAGTGACAAAGAACCTTTCTTCTTTTCACAGTGTCTTGTCAGGTGACTTATGGTTTATTTTGCAGAGTTGGAAGGGGATATAACAGCTACTTCAAAAGTATTAAGAACTATTTTATACAAACTTGATACTATCTCCAAGGAGTATGTTCATGATCATCTTGATTATATTAAGTAAAGGCAATGTCTAGAAATGTTGGCTTTATATCTTTTTGTGAATCAATTATTAATTTAAATTGGTATACTAACTACATTTAATGTCTCTTCCCACATCGTCTCTCCTGTCTCTCCTATACCACCATGGATTATGGAACATCAGCAGGACATCTATGGGGTCACACCTATTTGGAATACAGAGGCATCTTTAGTCCCAGAGTTCCAAATTATCCTGGGCAGCAAAATGAAACCCTGACTCTAAAGCAAAACAAATATTAATATTTATGAAACATGTACCAGAGGTGCTGTCTTAGCCAACTTTTTCACCACTGTGACTAAAGGACCAGTCCAGAACAACTGTAGAAGAGAAAAGTTTTCTTTAAGGGCTCACAGTTTCAGAGGCCTCAGTCCATAAATGGCTGGCTCCATTTCTCAGAGCTCAAGGTTAGGCAGGATATCATGGTGGAAGATTGAGGCAGGGGGAAGCAGCTCACTTGCTGATCAGGAAGCAGAGAGAGAGTGACTCCACTCTTCAAATACAAAATATATACCCCATAGCCACACCCTCAATGAACCAATTCCTCCAGCCACACCCCACCTGTCTCCAGTTACCTCTCAATTAATCCCTTCAGGGATTAATTCACTAATTAAGTTAAGGCTATAGCTTAATCATTTATTCTCCAAACCTTGCATTGTCTCACACATGTGCTTTTGGGGGACATCTTAAGTCCACACCATAACAGGTGCTTTAATGCATGTGTGAGGGCATAGAATCTCACTCATAACACCACAAATCTTGAGAATTTCAATTTATTTAGCTTATGACTTCCAGTTCTGCTGTAAAATCACTTACCTCTATATGGCATGTTAAGAAAAGCTATGGGCCAGCAAGTAAAAGTTTGGAGTTCTAATTCTGGCACATCCATTTATCAGTCATATGTCTTCAGAAGTCATATGAGCCCCATCCTTACGTTCTTCATCTCAATAAAATGGAGCTATCCCATTTTCAATCTTTTTAGTGATATTTAACTTCAGCCGCATAAGTTATATGTGTAACTGGGTATTTATATAGCACCAAAGTGTCTCCTGTAAATTATTAGATTTTGCTGAATAACACACCATCTCAAAACACATTAGTCTAAATCAGTAAACATTTACAATGTCTGAAATTCTGCAGGTTGTCAAATAAGTTTTCTGTCCCGGCTGGCTCAGTTTGGGTCATCTATGTCTTGACAGGCACTTGTGACCCTTTTTGTAATCTACTGTGATCTACCATGGAGTCTAAATTACAGGAGAATAACAAATTACTTGCAGTGAGTAAATCTTGTAAACATCACTTTAAGTCATTAAAGTGAAAATCACCAATAATGAGACCGACATTAATGATTGAAATACTGAAAAGTAGGCCATATTACTTAGTGTTCCAGAACCCCCAAAATGTGTAGTAGAATATAATTCTGAGGAAGTAAAGAGAAACCCAAATTAAGGGGAATTCTACAACATATCTTGTCTGTACTTTTAAAAATGTCACTGTGATAAAAATCAAGGAAAAGCCGAGGAGCTATTCTAGACTGGAGGTGATTAAAAATATGAGAAGGACTACTAACTACAATGTGTAATACAGAAATAGATACTGAACTTGGGGGAAAATAGCTATAAAGGACACTATTAGTACAATTTGCAAATATTATTCTATATTTTAATGATTTATATTTAATTTGTTATAAACTATAAATAGTTTTATATCAGCATTAAATGCCCTAATGTTGATAAATTTACTATACTATCTATGAGAAAATGCTTGATCTTAAGGAATGTATAAGGAAACATTTGGAGTAAAAACATACAGTGGTTACAATATATTCGTAGATGGTTCAGAAATATCTACAGAGAAGATGACAAAGCAAATGTGAGGACATTTAACTTTAGGTACATTTGGTTGAAGAATGTGAAATTTTTGTCATAATTTTGCAATGTTTCCTTAAGTTTGAAGTTACTTTTTTTAAAAATGGAAGGGGCAGTCTTTGCTTATCTCACAAGAAGATTAATATCATAATTTATGAGCACTCAAAATAATAAGTCACATTGTACTTGTTGAAATAGACAACTAGGAATATGTATGTATATATGTACATATTTTGTACTAGCAGCTGAACCCAAGGATACATAATCACTAAGTCACATCCCCCATCCTTTCTTTATTTTTGAGATATGGCCCCATTAAGGTTCTTGGGGTCTTGGTAAGTTGCTGAGGCTGACTTTGAACTTGTGATTCTCCTATCTCAGCCTCCTGAGTCTATGGGATTACAGATATGTAGTTCCACTATGCCCAGCAGAATTTATCTTTTATCAGAGATGAGCCATTGCAAATATTTGTTTAGAAAAATGAGATGACTAATGCTGTACAATTAAATGGCTATAAAGCATATAGACACTTTAGATGAAGAATATATCAAAGGCAAGGATATGAGTTTAACAACTACAGCTGCCCATTCTGATTGAACAAGGCCCTAATAAAGTGGGAAGTAAGGTCCAAGGCCCTAATTAAAATGGGAATGAAGGATGAGATGGATATATTTTGCTGAAATTAAATTATCAGGTTGTCACAAATTATTAGGAATTAAGGAGAAGGGGAAAGAGTGTAATATTAATTTAAGAATTTGAGATTGGATGAGTATAAGTACAGACATGTCACTCCTTAGAGAAACATAAAGCAAGAACTTTATTTTCTAAAATGAAAGTGTAATAATATTTATTTACAATTATAACATTTCCATGGCTTCTTAATGCTTTTAAGTAATAGTCTAAAGTCTCTAACATTCCTGTAAAAACCTTTATAATCTTGGGTACTGTTTACTCCTGAATATCTACAATGAGCTAGGTACAAAGAATAGGTATTAAAGATGAAAAGAAAAATTAAGACCACTGTCATGGAAGTTAGAGTGTAATCATTTATCCAATGAATGCACATGAAATGCTCACTTTGTGACATTTATTTGCAAGGCACTGGGAACACAACAGAGATTTTTAAAGTTAAATATCTGCTCTCATGAATGTTATGCTTTAGTGAGGTAGGTCAGTACAACAAGTTAAGTATGTACTGGTAGAAAATTTTAGAAAAATACTAAGACAAGCTAAGAGCTGAACTTTCCAACTAGTATACCACAAATGTTCATAGCTGTGCCATGATATATTGAACATCTGGTATATCAGAAGTGTCCAACCAGTGTGTCCCACTTGTCCAACTCAAGTTGTCAACATTCAAAGTCACATAGCCTCTGATTATAAGAAGCTTGTTAAGGGCATCTCAGAGAATGGTCTGAGCATGGAATTCCAAATGTACCCATTTTGATTGGGCAGCAAGGAGATTGGGCAGGGTTTTCTAGTAGGTATAGCTCCAGATAATAACTAACTCAAAGCTCCAGCAACATAAGCTGCTCTAAGAATTTATGGTCAGTCTTCAAGCTTTATCATTAATTGATAAAGATTTTTGGAAAAAAACTTGAAACCTTATACAATTCAATAAATTCTAATTTTTGTTGAATGAATAAATTAATGTAGCTATTAGTCAACTATTAAGCCTCTTTTGTAATTTTTTTTTTGTTTTTTATCTTCCCTGTCCACATTAGACCTTTTCTCTTTGTGTTTGTAACTCTTGATTGGGCAGTACTCACTACTGGCAAAACAACTAATTTTCAAACCACAAT